ATATATATCTTCATAAAATTCCCTTGTATACTTTTGTGTTTTTAAAGACAAGATTACTCCTGTAGTTTAAGTACTGTGATAATTTATCTATTAGTGTTAAATGTTCTACATCTGAAAAATTGAATGTATGTCTTATGAATAATAATATATTACAGAATACAAATTATTAAAATTGTTCTTGTAATGGTGGCAATGTCACAAGCAAATCATAAGTCAAATGTCCGTGTACATGGACTTACCATTGTATCCTACACACTAAAGCTTGAATAAAAATATATGGTGACTTTTGCTGTCAAAGCTTCACTTTGTTTTATTCAAACACTAATAGACTATAAAAAGATGGATATAAATCATTTGCATTCCATTCATAGTTGCCACTGAATGAAGTTAATCATTATGTACACATAACCTAATACATTCTCAGCTAGATCTTAAATTATTATTAAATAATCTATAAAAAAATAATTGGAACGTTTGCTGATTTAGATTGCACGTCAGTGCTAGAAATAATTTATAAATATCACAAAGAGATAGACAACTCAACTTATGAAGAAATTTTATTTCTATAGTTTATGAAATGTTTAGAAATTAATAGTGCTAAATTAACTAAGAGAAGACTGACAATTACCTTTACTTAAAATCCAAGTTTCTAAGTGTTCAAACATTTTTAGTGAATAGTACACTTTCCTTCTAAAACAATATTTTTTTTTTCTTTCTTGTATTACTTTGTGTTTATATCCTCTCTGCAAATTATATCAAAATTTCACCATATTAGTCTTTCCACATGTATGATTGATTGGCCCTGGATAAACGTTTAGTCACAGAAGTAACTTTTGGTTCACTCTTCTTGGGCAAAACAAAAATGTGCTTAACATACATAATTAACCAGTTGGCTTGCATCACATATTGCTTGTACCCAAGACAACTGTAAGCTACATTAGTAAGGTCTTCTATCTTGGGTTATACATTGCTGAAGAATAGGATGGTATACAAAAGCAGCTATGAAGCACATTACTAGGGTCTTTTCTCCAGATCTAAATATAACTAAAGTGGTAAAAACAGGAGGATACAAAATGAAGCTGTGGAGATACACATGGTTAGCACAGGCTAATAAAAAAAAAAAGAATTGCAAGTACAAACTGCAATTTTCAATACCTAATTTATCAGTTTTACCATTATGTGAACTCCACCAAAATTAAATAATTATGTTTTATTATATTATATAAAAAAATGTTGTAACAGCACTACAAAACATTCTGACAATAGTAAACTATGAAATAAGCTGTTAAGAGAAATTATACATGACCTCACTTTACTGAACAAAGCATTAATGATTTGTCATTTATTCCTTTAAGTATACTTTAACTACCTTTCCAACTTCATTTAATAAGTGATAAAGACTTGAATCTTTCTTCCAAATACTTGCTTTGTCTGGAGCTAAAACTTCTCTAATATGTATACAAAATCAAATATTTATTGGATATATTAACTTGTCAATAATATGACAAGTCAACTTTTACCCCTGATTTGCTGCTGAATATACATCACAATCAAGCAAAGATTCACTTGAATATTGGTACAGATACAACTCTCATATTTTTGTGCCCATTAACAATGCCACAATTTTGCAGTTTACTGCTGCAATTCTACCTAACAAAGAACTTTTGATAAAACTGGAAAACTTGTGGGTTATATTTCAACATGATGTTCAGATGACGAGGAACCCACTTTGAGACTAATAATGCTTGGAGATGGCTTGAATGGGTAATGAAGATAAACTTTAATATAAGTTTAACATAACAGCAAATGTAAAACGTTTCAACAAGGTTTTGTCATCATCAGGTACAAGTAATTTACA